TAAACCCAAGCTCGGCAACCCTCTCGAAGCACGATGTGCAACGACGCTGCCCTGCTACCCTGCTACCCTGCTCCCAGCTGCTCAGATGATGATGAGCCCACCCACTTCCAAGACGTGCGGGAACGGCTTCAAATCCATCATGTCGGAAGTGGCCCTGGGCCTCCCATGAGTCTGGCCCCCTCGGCCCCCTTTCTGGGAGGCAATCGGCTCAGAGAAAAACTGCGCCAAGACCCTCTCACGCAGACTTTTCGACAGCAGTGCCACCTGGCCCCTAGGCTTGCTGTTCGCCCGGACGAGATTGGAGCGTGTTTTTTTATTCCTTGGGGCATGACGGGCGTCATCCGCCCCCCCCCCAAAATGACGTAACGCTCCCCTCACCTCCAATGCGCTCGGGGCATTGCCGCCGTGCGCATCGGGATCCGTATAGGTGTCCGTAGAGGAATCCGTATAAGAGTTTGGTCCGTCGTCGTCGTCGTCGTCGTCGTCGTCGTCGTAGTTGTCGCCCGTCGTTCGTCGCTCGTCGCTCATCGTCGTCCTGCGCGCGGACGCGGCTGGAACCTATTTTTTGTTCCTGGCCGATGACGGCAATCATCTGGGGGGGGCCGATGACGTCACGTTTCGCGCCGGCCGCGTTTGGGAATGCTTATGAATGATTGAGGACGGGTAGCAGCAGTATATCGGTGGCGATCTGCACCACAACGCTTCTGTGCACCACAGTGCCTGCGAACACCACAGCGCCTGTGTACACCACACCGCCTATATACACATCAGCCGCGTGCAACACAGCGCCAGTGTGTGCCACAGTACCTGCGGGCACCACAGCGCTTGTGTACACCACAGCGCCTGCGTACACCACATCCGCCGTGCGTAACATAGCACCAATGTGCACCACAATGCCTGCGTGCACCACAGCGCCTGCGTACACCACGGCGCCTGTGTGCACCACGGTAACCGTGCGCAACAGAGCACCAGCGTTGTATAGAGAATCTTGGAAGCAATCCTTATGACAAAATGGAGCGCCAGTGGATTGTACTCTCGTGGCGCCAACGGAAAACACACGGGATGGCAGCCCGATCGTCACCACAGCTCGACGGGGCTGTGGGAGAGACTCTTGCCCTGTGGTTGGTTAGCTACAGTAGGTGCGGGCCCGCCGTACCACCCCCGAGAGGCCCGATGGGGTTACTCGAAGGGGTCCCCCGACGTGGAGAGCGCGGGAACTGAAGTCCTTGGGCAGCGGGGTCTCCGCTGCTTGAGGCCGGCGGCCAAGTGGGGGTGGTGCCGGTGGCCGTGTCTCGGGGTGGCACTTCGAGGCACCTCGCAACGGCGGCGCAGATGTAACGCCTGGGGCGGGTCTGTGCCGCCCTTCACGTTGCGATGTCCGACTGCATGTGAATTCACGCAGGCACCTTGGGCACCTTCCCTCGGGTTGTGTCGCGCAGGTGTTCTGGTCAAAGAGAAAAGAAGAGCGCCTGTGGATTCAACAAAAAATTGATGTTGAATATAGAATTTGGAAAGAAACCCTTATGAGCAAAATGGCGCCGCTGGAATCCAGGAGTCCTCCCGATTCCTGCCGCATCATCCTAACTCATCCCATGTGCGTCCATGAGGCTCCAGCTAAATTCGCCGTCCGAGAACCACGCGGGGTGATGCCATAGACTGCGGTGGATGCTGAGATGCGCACGTGCGCTGTAGCGCGGACCCGCACGACAGGGGTGCAGGGTGCGGGAGGAGGAGGAGGAGGAGGAGGAGGTGGAGGTGGAGGTGGAAGGGGCAGGAGGGTATAACGTTTATCAGTATTTCCCTGGCGTGGCGTTTCATTGTCCGCAGTAGATCCTCACCTATATGTTCTTTGTTCCTGTCCTGTGCACGCAAGCGCTGTGGTGTACACCAGCGCTGCGTTGCACGCGGGTGCTGTGGTGTAGACCTGCGCTGTGGTGTGCACAAGCGACGCGGTGCACGTAAGCATTGTGGTGTAGACAGGCGTTGTGTTGCACATGGCTGCTGCGGTGTGCACTGTCGCTGTGGTGTACACCGGCGTTGTGGAGCACGCAAGCACTGTGGTGTACACAGGCGTTGCGTTGCACACGACTTCTGCGGTGCATGCAGGCGCTATGGTGTACACAAGCGCACGCGAACATTGTTTTGTACACAGGCGTCGTGGGGCACATCGGCACCTACATGATACTCGCGTCGTCGTCGTTGTCGTCGTCGTCGTCGTCTTCGCGCTCGTCGCTCGTCGCTCGTCGCTCATCGTCGTCGTGCGCGCGGGCGCGGCTGTAGTGCCGGAGCCACACGTCGGGGGGGGGGGGGGCGTTACGTCAGACCCACCCGCACCCCCCCCAATGACGCCCGTCATCGCCGAAAATAAAGAAACGCGCTCCTGCGCTTGAACCGCGATTTATTCCTCCCCTGCTTTCTCTCCTGTTCCTCCTCCTGACGGCCGCTCTTGGAACAAAGAGGAACGATAAACAGAGAGAGAGAGAGAGAGATGGGAAAAGGAACGCGGAGGGGGAGGAAGGTCACGCCTGAGCCGACCTTCCTCGCCGGCCGAGTTGTCAGCCAAAGCGCGCTGGTGGTCATCCGCGGACGGCTTCTCTTGGCCAGCCCTCCAGGGTCGGCCCTGAGAGCGGGGAGGAACGGAACTGTGACAGATGATGGGATTGTTGATCGATGGATGGAAGTGTGGACGTGGGGAGGCAGGAGGGAAAGGACTGTCGACCCGAATGTTTGGAGGCAGCGTGGAATGGGTGTGGGCTTAGGAAGTGAAGCGATCCAGCGCGAGATCATTGCGCCCTGGGAGCAAGAACGCCCCATCTGGAGCACAACGTCGAGGTCGTCACATCTTCTCGTTGTCTTCCAGTGCTCACCGGCCGGCCCATGGCGCGACTCAAGAGGACGAACCCGCACATCGATTGGAATGACGAGACGGCCCGGTTTCCTGGCTATGGAAGTATAATGTCATTGGGCAGTTCACGAGAAGACAGGGCAATCCACGGTGAGGCAGACGCCCAGATCGCTCGGCACGCCGCGTGTAAATCCATCCATTATTTGCAGTCTTGCAATGTATCCTAGTGCGCCCGGACTGCTTGGGAATATTTCTCGGAATCATGGATGGTCGGGAAAGTCGACCCGAGGTACCGGCCCAAACAAAGACATATCAGGCAGTACACGAAAGTATTGTTTGAACGCGTGATGCCCAAATTGGATTTCAGATTTGTGAGCTGCCCCAGTTCTCAATCACCAATAGACGCCTCTCACTGTTAGCTGGAGAACTTCACGAAGCCCTCGGCGCGCTCGTCCAGAAACTTTCACATGCTTCGCAGTGGCCAGCGCTGATGGAGCGGTCGTCGTACTTGAGCTTTCTCTTCGTCGCTGGTGGGTTGATCATCTGGCTCGGCCAGCACACCTGCGCCTCCGTGAGCTCGTTTTGCGAGTCCCGCGGGAGCGGGGGCATCCGGTGACAGGGTGCGGCCCTCGGAGCGCCGGCCGTTGCATCCCTCGAGCCGCCGGAGCCTTTCGCCCTAAGCCCCAACTCCTGGCACAAGCACTTCGCGAACTCGGCGGCAAGCAGTGCTGGAGAACCGTCCCCTGACAAGCTGACTGGGGATGCCACGTGCCGCTGGCGGAGGTGTGGACCCAATGCCGCTTCAGCCACCTGACGCCGAGCCGAGCTGATCATTCAGGACAGCCACGAGCACATTGAACTGTTTCTTGAAGAACTCATCCTTGCACTCCTCAGAATTCTGCGCGCCAAACCTTGTAGTCGCAGTCGCTTCTCTCCAGCCAACCGCCGCGCCTTTGCCAGAGCCCGCTCCTTCTTTTCGGTCTCAGAGTCAGGGGAATCATGGCGGATGCGGCGGCCATTGCGGTCGCCTCCACGGTCGCCACGGTCATAGCGGCGATCGTCGCGGCGGCGCTCAAAGCAGGGCTGGTCGCCCTTGGCGCGGCTGCAAGCTCCGCCTGCGTTGCCCAGAAGCGCCTGTCTCCCCGCCCGGCCATGGCTAGCTGCTTCACCCAGGTGCGGAATGTCGAACGTGCGAGTTTTGAGCCCCCTCCCGCGGGGAAGGGCATGAAGGAGGGCGCGCAGGAAAGAGATAGGGTGGCCTACCCGATAGAACTCCACTGAGCCTTCGAGTAGCCACACTGCGACCACTTGAGCTGGTACGATATCTCGAGAGTCCGCGCCAGACGAGCAAGCAACAACGACAAGCTGCGCTGGAAGCCTCCCCGTTGACGACCAGGCTACGGGATAAACGAACCCCGAACCCTGACAACATCGTGGCACATCCAATCCGTATTCAAGTTTGTGGGAAGAACTATTGACGGACTGCTTGTGGACGTGAAGTTCCGAGACGGTTGATAATTAAATCTTGAATGCTTGGGAGACGAAAGTGAAAACGCAAGTTTTGCATTACTGGCGGGACCCAGCACATACATCATCCACGTAGCGTCGCCATGATATCACAATGCGAACGTCGAAATCACCGACACCGACTCCCGGCTTTGCTTGAAACCCGTGATGCAACCATCTGCATTCGGCCGCGCCTAACACCAAGGAAACACAGGCAGATGCAAGTACCCCTCTGATCGAGATGCCAGTGGTCTTGAATACGTATTGTGTTGCCTCCTATGTACGAAGCTCCCCTGTTTCCCGATTGCTCAGAACACGACGGGCTTCTTTTGAGTTCCAGGCTGGCTATGACACGCGCCCGAGGATAGAGAACAAATCAGCTCAGTGGGAGGGGATGGGAGGGAGGGATATGATGTCAGGTGTGGCTCGAGCGCGCCTAGCTTGTCTCATCCTCCTCTTCCATTTCCTCCTTCCTCTCCTCCCTCCCATCCCTCCCATCCCTCTTCTCCCTCTTCCGCAGCCGCCTTTGGCACAGGCAGCTCGAGCCGCGGCGCGGGCGGGGCCTGCCAGGGGCAGCCCAGGTCAGCGATGGGCGAGGATGCCCAGATGAAGTCGCCAGCCGAGGAGGAGACGAAGGCACAGGATCCCCATGGCCGGGAGGAGGAGGAGGAGGAGCAGGAGGAGCAGGAGGAGACGAAGGAGTAGGAGGAAGAGGAGGAAGAGAGGGTCAGGAGGGGGAGGCGTGAATGAACAAGGGGCGAGGAAGGAGACCTCCTGTTCTGCCTCCTCCCCCTCATCATCCTCTGCCTCCTCCCCCTCATTATCCACTCCTTTCGGCGATGCCGACGACGACGACGACGACGACGACGACGACGACGACGACGACGACGACGACGACGACGACGACGACGACGACGACGATGGCCCGCGCGCCCGCGCTCGCGTGGAGGAGCCCCCCGCCAAGCGGGCCAGGGCCGACGGGGAGGCCGAAGCAGGGGAGTCCGAGGAGCTGGAGAAGGACGCGCCTCCGAGGGGAAGGGGCCCCTTCCTCGACAGGCTCCGGGGGACGCCAACTGTGCGCTTGCGTCCGGCCCTGGCCAGGAGTGACTGCAGGCCAATCCTGGATTTGGCCAGCATCTGCACAAGTGGGGGGTGCAGGGGGCAGGTTGAGGTGTCAGGGTGTCAGAGGCCCACGGGGCCGCTCCCTGGGGAGGCTCACCGGAGGCAAACATGTCGTGAGGCAAAATTATGTTTTCAGAAACGTTTCCCTTCAGCGACCACCTTTTTCCAATCCATGAGATGTGTGCCTTCAGCTTTGGGGTCTTCAGTGAAAAGAACCTTTGGAAGGCGGGTGGGCCATTCTTCTCAAGGTTGCGATCCCTCCTAAGCAGCCCCCAGCCTTCACCATCCTTGTTTGCTGTCGTCGAGAAGCACTCCCGCCTCTTAGAAGGCGTGCGGCGTACTCTTCCTGAGGCGGCGATCCCTCCCAAGAGGCCCCTGGCCTTCACAGAAGTCCGCCCGCCTAGCCGTAACCCCTGCAGCTCGCCGCCAGAGGCTGCTGAGTTTCGACCCCGCGCAATGGGGGAGGGGGGGAGGGGGGAGGGGGAGGAAGGGGCGGAGGGGGAGGAGAAGGGGATGGGGAGGATGGCAAGCTAGGTGCGCTCGCGTCATATCTGACATCCTACCCCTCCCTCCCATCCCTTACCATGGCGCAGATCCCCTCTCTACTCGCACAGTCGGGTGTCGAGCAGGGCACTCATCCCGAAAGGGTACGCGATGCATTGTAGAGCACGGCATGGCATGGCGTAGAAGAGCACCGCAAAGCGTAGCATCAACCTAGCATTGCATTGCACGCCGTGGCATGGCACGGGAAATGACGCCAGCGCTGCAGCGGGAACACGAGTCGAAACGAGCGGAAGCGCGGAAATGAGGCCAGCGCTGCAGCGGGAACACGAGTCGAAACGAGCGGAAGCGCGGAAATGAGGCCAGCGCTGCAGCGGGAGCACGAGTCGAAACGAGCGGAAGCGCGGAAATGAGGCCGGCGCCTCAGCAAGAACAGCATTTTGAAAACAAATGCAGGCGAAACCCCAACTCCGGGGAAACCTGTGTGTACAAAAACAGTACGCGGGGGGGGTCGGACACTTTCAAACCGCCATCAGGGGAAGAGGGAGAGTAGCATTCATATTGAATAATTGTGGAGGAAGGGGAGGGGGAGGCGTCGGGGGGGGAGGAGGGGGAAGAAGAGGGAGGAGGGGGATGAGGGGGAGGGGGAGGCTGGGGCCAGGGGTCGAGTAGGAGATCGACTGAAGATTCGATGTGCCCCAAACTTCTTTGTTTGTTCAACCGGTGGACCTATTCAGAATGATTGCAGATGTATCGCGCATTATATGTAAGTTTGCAGGCTCGCCGAAAATTTCAAGTCTGTGGCAAATCAAGTCTGTAGTCCGTCCCCTACTTCCCGAGGGCTCCCCGCGTTCTTGAGGCGGCGTGGGCCGCGCGGGGTGGCACTGCGCACTCGCTCGGCCGACTTCGAGCTGGCCCGCTCCGCTGCGATATCGATGTCGGCCGGCTCGATCCGATTCGAGCCCGACATGTCGGGGGTTTGGGAAGGTGTCCATGGCCCAAGGTGCCCCTGCGTTTCGTTCCATTTTGGAGCCCAGGCCCTCTGGGCCTCGTGAACGGTGCTCTGAAGGCCATGGGGGCCTCCTTGAAAGTAGTCCAGGGGGCGCAACATTCGATCCGATATGAGGCCGACACTTCAGAAGGACAACCATCAGGTTGCGAGGATGGGGCTGGGAGAGATGAGTAGATCATCCATATTATCCATTTTCCCAACCCCTTCCTCCCAACGCGACAACGGTCTTTCTCAACATTCCGACGATCCGATGCGCCCCGAAGTTTGCACGGCGGTGTTGTGCATCTTGGCGCGGCCGATCCGATTCTGATCCTTGTCCCATCTCTCGCCCCGACGCAGATTCCGGCTGGTCCTGCGCCGCATGGTCAGGGGGGGGCTTTCTGAGGAGGCCCCGCGCCTCTTAGGAGGCGTGGTAGTATCCTTCCTCTTGGAAAGCCTCCTGCCTTCGGCGAGGGGAGGGGGGCAGCAAGGCCCTGCTGCTCTGAAGACATCGATCCCTCCCTCGATGGCCGCC